GACGCGGCGGCGTCGCTCGATCGTTCGCGCCTTCGCTGCACTGTGCGCCCCGCTCGCACCGCACGTCTCAACCACACGACTGCGGTCTCGCTGCGCCCGTTCTTCTGGACCTTTCTCCGCGGACTCACATTTGATGTGTGTCTTCTCCGCGACACCCTGCGCCCAACCCCGGGGCCGCACCTTGTCTCCGACCAGCGCTTGTCCGGCCGGAGGCTGCCGGCCTCTGTGCTGCCCTGAACCGCCCGCCGGCACGTGCCCCCGTCTCGTCTCTCACGCACGACCGCCTCCTGGTCACGGGCCACGGCCGCGCCCCACCGCTGGCTTCCTGGCCACTTGCTGTGGGAACACGAAGTCAGCCCTTCCCCTCTAAGAATCGGTCCCAGGCGACCCTCACAGGACAGGCCCCTCAGTGACCACAGGCCCTGCCTTGGCCAAGAGCCCTGCACCTCGGCCTCCCACCACCCTTGGGAGATGCCACCCAAACTGCTGTCTTAGACCCTCCTCTTCAGAGAGCTGTCCTCACCGTCTTAGTGGGACGGCCCAGTGACCGCCTCTAAACCCTCCCGGTCTCCCTCGGCAGGACGCGCCGGCCAACGACACTTTGTGTCCTAGAAAACGCGTCTCCGGTGCTCCCGCCGGTGAAGGCAGCGGCCAGAACGACCGCCTGGCCTGCGGCCGCTGCCTGTCCCAGGCCGGGCTGCAGGGCTCTCGCCTGCCGCGTGCGCGCTTCCAGAACTCGCTGCCCGCACGTGCAGGGGTGGACTCTGTCCCTGTCCCTGAGGCTGGGTGGGCTCCATGCCGTCCCTGCTAGGAGAGTCCAGGAGAAGTCCCGCCTTCTGGGGCTGGGTTACGCGGGCGCCCTCCGGGGATTCCAGCCCCGCAGCCCAGCCGCCGCGTATGAGGGCGCAGTCTCCAGGGAGAGACCGGCAGGGGCCCCGGCGGACAGTCCCGGCCGCCAGCCAGCATCAGCTGCCGGCCACGGGCCCGAGGAGATGTCAGATGACTCCGGCCAGCCGTCCTCGGAGTGCAGCGGCCGCCCGGCAGGCCCCGGGCAGGAACGGTCCACCGACCTCGGTGAACCCCAGACCCACGCGCGAGAAGAACAAAAGGACTGTTGTCGCATTCAGCCGCTGAGTTTGGGGCCACGTCCACATGCCCAGCGCTTGACCACCCGCATGACCCGCTGCTCTGCACTGGTCATCAGCTCAAGTACCGCCTTCCCCGATTCCTACCGGTGGCGGGGGACTCCCCTCCTGAACGCCCGCTGCTGGGCGTGGGTGGCGCTCGCGTGTTCGCTTGGCCAGAACGATCTTGCAGGGGAGACGTTACCAGTGGGAAGGAGAGGGTCCAGGACAAAACAGAGCTCCCACCCACTCCCCTCAGAGGCCTTGTCTCTGACCCGCATCCCGGACACTTTGGCTTCTCTGCTAGAAACCTAGGATGTCTCGAGAGAGAGTCAGAAAACTTTAAGTATCATGTGATCCTGGGAAGAAAAGGGTTGCGGAACCCGGGTTTCTTTCGGCTGGCGGCGGAGGCTGCGGGGCAGCGTCATTCACAGCTTCACCAGCAGGCGGCAGCCCCGCTCCGGCTGCTTCGCAAACTAGGGGACGAATTTACTCGTGAACTATTGACTGTTAACGAAGCTCCAGGGGAGGGTGACTGAGCTGCGGAGCGGAGCAGGTGACGTCTGCCCTCCGAGACCTTCCCAGCGGGTAAGCCCCGGCTGGAGCGCGTCTCTGGATGGTGGACTCCACGAGACGCCCGCCCTCCCTTCGACCTTCGGTCTGACCTCACAGGGCCGCCCTGTGGCCACGGCCTTGCCTAAGGGCTGTCTTTCCAGTCGACTTCCCGCCCTAACCCTCTGCTGTCTGGCCAGTGACCACAGAGGAGGTGGGAGCAGAGAAGGTGGCGCGTCCTGGATGGAGCAGGTTGGGACACAGGTCAGGAGCCAGGACAGGGGATGCACCGGAGCTGCGTCCATCAGGGGAGCCTCTTCTGGCCTTCAGCCGCCTGCCCGCCCGCCCGCCCATGGCCACAGTTCCGTCCGGGCCCGCGCGGCTCAGGGAGCACAGCTCCTGAGCTCCCGTCCCCTTCCCGCCCGGCCGCCCTCTGGTGTCCCTGCCCCCGGCAGAGGTGAGGCGGAGCCACCCTCACGGAGGGCTGTGTTCAGGCGCAGCCAGTAGCCGGGAGGCCGCAGAGGGAGCAGGAGCGGAAGCGGCCCCTTGGCTCGGACTCAGGGGAAGGAGAGGAAGTGGTCACTGAAAACCAGTCTGGTTTCACAGTCCCGGAGGCCCCGGCCCCGGCCCCGGCCCGTTGAGGGGTTCCCCAGCCACCTCGGAAGCGGCCCTGGACTGGCCTCGGCCCTCGAGGGGGACCCGCTCTGGGCCCTCTGGTTCCTTCGCAGGCGGATTCCCCTTTTCCTGCCTACGGGCACTGTGTCTCCCTGGCGCGGCCTCCCAGGCTCCCCTGCCTCCGCAAGGCTGTTGCTCCGCTCACCTCCCCGCGGCCCCCCTACCCTGAGCCCCAGGACGTGCACGCAGGGACTGAGGGTCCCGCCCAGAGCCGCTGGGCCCTTCCACAGCCCCCTGGGACTTGCCTTGTCATCGCCGATCCAGAAACACCCAGGAAGGCCCGGCGGGGAAGAGCCTCAGAGACGCCCCAGTGCTCCAAGGTGGCCGTGGCTCTGCAGCTCCGACCGCGCTGTCTGGGCAGCGGCGGGGCCGCTGGCCGGGGAGGGGCCGCGCTGTGGGGTTGAGGTCGGCCAGAGCAGCTTCCGGCACGTGCTGCGTCCTAAGGACGGATGGCCTTTCTGTGGTTTCGCCATCACGCCCGTGCCTGTGCGCCTGGTGGGTGACTCCCACACACCTTTGATCGCCTCGACCCCAGGACCCTCCCTGACCCCTGAGCCTCCCTTATGCGCAAAGGGGATGTCCAAGCCCAGAAGGTGGCGTGACCGAAAGGTGGAAGGTTCTGGAAAAACAGCAAGCAAGGCTGGGCCTGCAAGGCTGGGCCTGCTCGGCTTCCTTTATCTCTGGCCCTGCCTGGACAGCTCCCGGGGCGGCGCCCCGGCACAGTCTGCAGGGGACGTGCAGGGTGGCCGCGTCCGGCTCGCCCCGGGCCATCCTCTGGCTTTCCTGGAACTGTGGGGACAGGCTCGCCGGGCGGCTGCGCCGTGCGGACGCCGTCCTTTCCACAGACTGAGCGCAAGACCCTGCCCCAGCATGAGGGCTGTGATTTGCTGAAGGCTTAGACGATGGTTAGCATTTTTTTGCAAGAAAGTATTCTTTTATCCTCACCCAAGCACGTTTTTCTGTTCATTTCTTTTAGAGAGAGAAGAAGGGAGAAGGGGCGGAAGAGAGAGAAACAGCGACGCGGGAGAAGCACGGATCGGGTGCCTCCGGCGGGCGCCCCGACCGGGAATCAACGGCGCGCCAGCCAAGCGAGCCGGGGTGCCGCGAAGTTTTGTTTTGTGTCGTTCTGTTTTGCAGCCGTCTTGTAGTTCCTTCCCACGGATCTAACACATAGCTCTGTGAATAAAGGAAGCGACATATTTGCTCTACGAGGCGTTTCCAACGATGCAGGTCTACAGAAAGCAGTGAAGTATTTTTATCTTAAGGTATACACGCTGTGTTTTAGACAGAGGGCCCCTGCACAGCTGATAGACTGCAGTAAAGTGTAAACATAGCTCCCCGTGGGCCCGTCTCTCTTGCGATGCTCGCTTCACGGCCGCGGCCGGGGACGGAGCCGCCGTAGCCCCGAGGCCCGCCCGCCCGCTCCTCACCGTCCGGTCCCATCGAGCGCCGCGGTCTGGATGGCACGCTGCCCAGCCTCCCTCGCGGGCGCTCTAGACCCTGTGTGGCCTCCCCCCTTGCCAGACCTTCCCTGGGACACTTGGCAGTGCCAGTGGCACGTCACTGAGTGAGTCCCAGGACTCCGAGGGGACAAACCCAGACCAAAGAAGACAACGCAGGAGTTCGCCCTGCTGTGAAATGGGGCGGGGGGCGGGGGAGGGCAAGGCTCCGAAGCTCATCTCTCCAGGATCCTGAGAACCGAGCGGCAGGGCCCGGGGGGAGCGGTGGGGGGGCATCTCATGGGAGCAGGCTCCTCGGGCAGCCAGCCCCCGGCACCGGACCCTGACTGCGGCTCCGGAATTTGGTTTCTGTACCTGCTCACCTCTCGCTTGCTCAGTGCGGCGAGACCGGGAGGTCTGGTTTCTCCGCCTACGGCTCCTCCCGAGAAGCACTGGTTGGGCAGCCGGCAGACGGGCTTCCTTCAGAGAAGCCCCGTGGACAGGAAGGGCTTGTCAACGCCTGACGTTTCTGAGGGCAGAAAGCAAGGAACGCTGGACAAGTACTTACTTTTCTGCATCATGAGATGCTTGGCTGGACTCCTGGAGGGGAGCTAATTCAGCAGCTTGGGGTTTGAAAGGAAGCCCAGGCTGGAGGACGCCTGGAGGCCCCCACTTCTCAGAACTGCCGCTCTGGGAGTGGGGAGCGGGGCGTTCTCCCTCGGACAGCAGGGGAGGCTGGGGAAACGGGGGCAGGGGCAGAGCTGCTGGAGGAGGAGGCGAGCCATTTCCTGAGCCTCCACCGTGCGGCGGGGCCACCGGGTCCTGCAGGGTCTGGTCTGTCCCAGGCAACACTCTTGTGGACCACCCCTCCCCATCCGCTTTTACAGATGCGGACCGAAGCTCAGGGGGGCCGCGTTCCGGGTGAGAGCTCAGCAAAGGGGCACAATCAGAGCTCAGACCCGTCTCAGACGGCGCCCTAGTGTGTCCCTTATGCCCCGCCCAGGGACGCGCTTCAGTGAGACGCCCCACCCACACCGTTCCCTGGGGCACAAGTTTATCAAGGGTCCCAGATGCCATCTGGCTGATAGGGAAACAGCGAGAGGTTCTGGGCGCACAGTGGGGGAGCCGCGCTGCCGCCGCCGGCGGGCGCCCTGACGTCAGCCTGCCGTGGTGCTGTGTGCAGAGCCCACAGGTGGGCGGGGCCGGGACACGCCTTGCCCAGCGGAACAAAACGGCGCGCGCGGGCGCATCCCGCAGCCTGGTCGGAGCGCTTCCCGCCAACCGCCCGATCCTGCTGCAGGTGAGTGCGCCAGGTGAGTGCGCTCCGTGCGCGCGCCAGGGCAGCGCATCAGCTCAGTGCGCCCCGGCCGCACGCCCGCCCCCCGGCCCCCCGTAAGTGCGCCCCGGCTCCTCCGCTGCGCCCTTGGTGCCGCGCAGACCGAGCGCCTCCGGGTCCCTCCCGCTGCCAGGAAAGTTGGCGCGGCCCGGACGCGGGCGAGGAGTGGGGACAAGTGGCCGCAGTTAGCCCGGGGGCGCTTCTGTTTCCGGGAGGCGCCGAGTCCCTCCCTGCCAGGGCTCCCACGTGCCCTGATCCGGGCGCCCGGGTCCCCCGCCCTGCGCAGGTCCCACAGCAGAACAAAGGGCGATTTCGCGGGCCCCGGACGCTCATGGTACGGCAAGGGGATGAGGGCATCCGTGCCACCCCCGCCCTCGCCTCCCGGGCGGGGCGGGCGGGTACATCTGGCCGCGTGGCCCAGCCTGGGACATCTGTGCCGCGTTTCACCTCTGCCGCCCACGTCTTGGACCAAATGGGGACCTTTAAAAGCCCAAAATAACCCACAGCGGGTGCTTTGTGGCTTAGCCCTTGGAGGCTGGGGAGCAGGAAGGGGCTGAGGTTGAGCGCAGTTGGAGCAGGTTTTCGTGCGCTGCCCCACACGCCACTGTGGGGCAGGTGCTCGTCTGCTCAGACAGGAGGGCGGCCCAAGCTCCCGGTCCCTGCCCTGCTGTGATCTACTCAGGCCCGGGTCCGGCCTGGGGCAGGAGGACCTCAGGCCCTTCCCTGAGGCCTGGGCTTCAGCTGCCCGCCCCTGCCCTGCGGGGTGAGTAAAGGGACAGGCCCTTCCCAGCCAAGACGGTTACTGTCGGGCCATAGTACAAAGTGCATCAGGAAAAGACAGCCTGGCTCTTTGGGGACAGACGGTGCGGAAGGCAGACCGGCGGCCCCCGCATGTTGCATTTGCCTCTCCTTCCGTGGGCGACTGCGGACAAATGACTTCTCGTTGCTCAGTTCCTTTTGGGGATGGAGCGTGAGACCAGGAAGACGCTCGGGCCGGCTGCTGTCTTCTCCCTCCCTCCTTCCCTCCCTCCCTCCCTCCCTCTCAGAGCTAAGGAGGCTGGGATGCCCGCCACCCAGCTCTCCTTTTGGGGGTGCGTCCCAGGTGGGGTTTGGGGTGGTGGCGGGTGCTGAGCTTCCCTGCTCTTTCTCGCCTGCGGTCACCTGATTCTCTCAATGGGCTCTGGCCTCTTGCCGGAGATGGTCCTCAGCCCTCAGTGCCCTGAGGCTGGGGATGACCCTTTGCCTCTGGGAGGGAGAGTCCAGACAGGGAAGGAAGTTTAGGCCAGAGGAGCGGGGAGCCCTGCCCAGTTGGAGGAGAGAAAATGAAGACCCACCCGCCGCGGCTGGTGCAGCTCAGTGGGTTGAGCGCCAGCCAGCCAACCAAAGGGTTGTTGGTTCGATTCCCAGTCAGGACACAGGCCTGGGTTGCGGGCCGGGTCCCAAGCGGGGGGCGCGCGAGAGGCAACCACACGTGGATGTTTCTCTCCCGCTTTCTTCCTTCCCCTCTCTAAAAAAAAGAAAAACAAACGAAGACCCACCCGCTCAGAGAGCCGACCCCAGCAGGGCCGGCGGCTCTGCCCCTGGCCCGCGCCTGCCCCTGCCTTCCTGCCCCGTGTTTTCTTTTCTAATTGCAAGCGTCTGCCTCCGGAGCCAGGAGTCCGGCCAAAGTTGCCGCCTGGGAGTATAGTGTTGACACTGGGTTGGCCATCGGTAAATATGTGGCGATGGGCGGCCGATGCGGCAGCACCGGGCTGGCCGCCGAGCTGCCCTGCTGCCCGACACGCCGGACCCTTGCGCTGCCACTGGCCCATGGCTCCCGCGAGTGGGGGTGCGCGCAGGGGCGGGGGAGGCTTGTTTTCGTTTGCTGTGGGCCTCGGGTGGGCGGGCCCGGGGGAGGCTTTCCTGGTCGGCTGCCGAAGGGTTAAACATTTGTGCTAACCCGGCTTATTGTGAAGAGTTGGCTTCTGGGAGGATCACGAGGTGCTAATGATCATGAAAGGACTTTTTTCCAAGTCAGCCATTTGCCAGGACGCAGGCGAATTGGCCCACATCGGGACCCCAGCCGGAACACTGTGTGCGGCCGGTCTCGCCTCCAAACCGTAGTGGGCAGGTGTTGGCACCGGCTCCGGCCCTGCGTGTGTTGTCTGGAACAGGCTATGAAGTAGGGGCTGATGTGCCCCGTTTTACAGAGGAAGAAACTGAGGCTCAAGGTGCTAAGTCAGGGGGCGACCACTCAAAGCCCCCCCAGTCCCTTGCCCCCTGTTACCACTTTTGTGCTACTCTGTCTCCTGGTTCTAGAGCAACTCACTGAGGAAATACCTGCGCCCTGGGAACACAAAAGTTCTGCAAAGTGCTTTACAGCCGCGGGTGAACTCTCAGTGCAGCTTTGTCAGCGTGAATGTGAAGGGAGTCAGGGCCAGGACTCAGCCTCTAGGTTTTCACTCTGCTGCATGGCCAGGGTGGGGTCAGGAGACCCCGAGGGTGGGTGTCCCCGATCCCCCGGGGAACGCGTTCTTCAGGCCTGATGCGCGTTTGAATTTTGGTGCCAGGTTGGCAGGAAAGAAAAAACCTGGAAAAGAGTCTGCTTGAGAAAAGACACACACACATACACACACACATGTGCGCGCGCGCGCGCGGCCGTGGGGACAGGGAACGGGGAGGGGAGGGGTCCTGGGCACGGACAGCAGCCTCGGCCTGTGGTTTCCAGTTGTCAGTAGTTGCTGTGGCGGTGGCTGGCTGTCAACGCAGCTCCCCAGGAATTCGTCTGACGTCAGCGCTGAGGGATTGCCATGTATGGTAAAGTGTGTAAATCCCAGACTGGCCCTTCCAGCACCTCCCTGGGGCCGCGGGGCACTGCGTCCTCCGGCCCCTGAGCAGGTCGCGGGGGCTCTGCCGGGGCCTCGCTGCCTGGTGCGGCTGCTCACCACCCGGGTGTCTGGGATGGGGCTTCCCGAGGTGTCAGCTGCAAAGCAGCTGGTGTTATAAGAAAAGGATGCTCGCTTGTTATTTCAAGTGAACTGAAGAGAAATCACTGGGACCCTTTCCACTTGGGATCACTGATTGTCACCGCACCACCCTGACGTCACTCCACACAAAGGCAAAGGAACCGGATCTGTTGATGACACCGGGGCATGTGTTATAATGCAGGACTTCCCGTAAGAGCCTTGAAATGCTGAAACCGCACACCCCAGCGTCTGCCTCGGTTGGCCTCCAGATTCCTGGGTCCAAGGGCGAAGAGCTGCGTGCTCTGCGCGGGTTGGGGGCCAGCAGGAGAGGAAGGGACGCAGAGAGCCCCGCCCTGGTCACTCACAGCCCCTGGGGGCCGTGGGGCCTGCGGTGATGCCGGCCTGCTGCTTAGGGAGGCGGGCTGAGCTCAGGGCTCCGGAGAAACCCCGGAGGGGAGTGGGGGTGAGGCTGACCTTCGTGCCCGCGTTGGCCGTGTGTCCTTGCCAGGGACCCTATGTTCAGCGGAGGCCTTCTCCCTGGGCTTTCTGGTGTCGCCTCCGAGACACGGGCCTGACCCCTGACCGGCAGGCCCCTCCGTCCCTGCTCTCCCTGGCTGCCCTCCTGACCTCATGGGGTTGGGGGGGGCAAGTGCAGGCAGGGCCGGCCGTGCGGTCGGGAGGGAGGGCGGCTCGCCCACGCACCTGGCCAGGGACCGCGGGCGCAGGTAACGCGAGAGCGTGGTTCCCGCCCAGCAGACACCTGACAGGCCCCGACCAGACCACGTGGGCGGAGACGTGAGCTCTGCCCAGAAGTTGCTCTTTGGCCCCGGGGAAAATGAGCTGCTGGACCAGGAGGGACGGGTTTTTCCACTAGACCTCAGGGCACAAGTGTTCTGTCACTTGGCTGGATTGGCCAGAGGAGGGTCTCCTTCCTGCCCTTGAGGACCGTCCACCTCTGACGTGGCTTCTCAAACATGGAACGTGGTTCCTCCCATGTGACTGCGTGACCGGGCAGAGGCAGCTGCCTGGACGGCGCCGGGCGCTGTGACGAGGGAGAGGACACGCTGGCTGGAGAGGCAGACAGCGGTCCTTGTCACCCTCCTGGTTAACTGCCCTCCACCTCACGTGGCTTTGCAGCCCTGAGCTCTGGCCCCTCCAGGCCGCAGGCCTCCGGAGTCCCCAGGGCCGAAGGAGACACGAGGACCATCCCCGGGGACCCGGGAGGCCCGGTTCGGGAGGGTGGTGCCCGAGGAAGACACAGAGGGGTCAGGTGCGGAAACCCTACCTGTGGTGTGCGTGAGCTGTGGCTGGCCCGGGCCCGGCTTGGGGAAGCTGGCCGCGTGCAGCGGTCAACGGCCCGCTGCAGCCGCGTGGGAAGGGACAGCAGGCCCCGCTCCAGCCCCTCGGCCTGTGCAGCCCCCCAGGTCGGCCGCGCGCTGGGCACTGTGGCGGCCGCGGTGCGAAATCATCAGCCGCAGTCGCGCGTGAGGCGCCGTAACAGCTGACAGAGCTGGGCAGAGTGGGCAGTGCTCGCCTTTCCCAGGCACGAGGGAGTCACTGACGGCGGCAGAGCACAGGACCTGGTGGCTGCGCGGGGACAGGCTGGGACGGAGGCTCCGGAGCAGCTCCCCGGGGACGGCTGCCGGGGGCGCAGCCGGCTGCACGGGGCTGCAGTAGCCGAGGGCGTTCGCTGGTGCCCTTCACGGGAAAATTCAGAGTGCGGCTGAGAGCGGCGGCTCGATGCTGGCCCTGCACACTGGGCCCTTTGTCTCTCAGCGCTGTGGGCCCTGCCGTCAGCTGCATCCTGGGCCTGCCTGCCCCTCGGGACAGCAGCCCAGAGCCCCCCACTGCCCCTGCTCCCCTGTTCTCACGCCGGGGGCGGGGCGCTGCTTCCAGGAGGTTCTCTCAGACGCTCGGGATATTTTTTTCTCCAGAGTCCCCTCAACTTTTTCCCTTCTCCTGTGTCATCGGCCTGAAATGCACTGCTGGCCCCTCGCTGAACCAGGAGCCGCAGGGGTCCGGCTAGGTCCCTGCCTTGCTGTGTGGCCGACTCTCGGGGTGGCTACCAAGAGAAGTGACTGTCACACGCGGTCTCTTCCGGGGCGGGGGGGGGCTGGCCTGGGGTGGCAAAGCGAGGGAGAGGGGCCCAGGCTGGACGGGGCGGAGGGCAAGCGTCAGAGGGGCGTCTGTGGGGCTCCGCAGGGGTTGGGGCGCCGGGGAGCACGGGCGGGGACGGGACTCGTGCGTGGCGAGGGACCAAAGCTGGGGGCAAAAATGGAGAAGCCGGGTGGGAGGGCCAGTCTGAGGACAATGGCACCGAGCTCGGGGGCCCGTGTCCTGCAGGCCCCGGGGCAGCAGGGGCACGGTGGGCACCGGTGAGCCCGGGGCCCGGCCACAGGGTTGGGCTCTCCTCCCAGGAGCCAAGTGAGGGGACAAGGCCTTGGGACAAAAAGCCGTGACAGCGTCCACTGTTAGGAGGGTCCCAGGCAGCCCCTCTGCCCCTGAAGACACCCCGGGGGCGCTGCACGGGGGGCACGTCTCCGCCGGACGGAGCCGCAGCCGGCCCGTCCCCAGCTGCGCTCACCGCGTGACAACACGGCCCTGCCGCCTGTGGGCCTCGCACGGCGACCTGGGTTTCCTGATTCTCCCAGGCCTGCTGGCCGTGCCCCGCGCGCGCGTGTGCGCTCCCTCCCTGTGGACGCCCGCTGTGCGGAGCTTGCCACGGCGGGGGCTCACCTGCGTCCCCCACCTGCCCCGCGGGGCCGGGAGCTGGTGGGGGAGGGGCCGGGGTGCCCTCCCGCCCTCCCCGCCCCGGGCGACCTGGTCCCGCCCTCCCACAGGCCGATCGCGATCCCTGCGTCTGCGCCCAGCCTCAGGATGCCGAACTGGGGAGGAGGCAAGAAGTGCGGGGTCTGCCAGAAGGCCGTGTACTTCGCCGAGGAGGTGCAGTGCGAGGGCAGCAGCTTCCACAAGTCCTGCTTCCTGTGCAGTGAGTACGGCCGGCCCTGCGGTTGCCATGGCGACGGGCGGGCGGGCGGGGGCACCCCAGGGGCCGGGCCTGTCGGCCCCCCAGGGGACTGGCCCCGTGGGATGTAAACAGCTTGACATTTGGCTGCAGCCGCAGCTGGGGCGGGAAGCACTCAGGGCCTCTTTGTTCCGGCAGGAGCCGCTTTCCAAGGGGACGCTGGCCAGAGCCCGTGGGGGGTGGGGGCGCTCGGGGGCCGAGCCAAGCTGCGCGCAAGGCTCGGTTAGGAAAACTTTCCACTTGGCTCGCTCTCCTTCTCTCCCTGCCACATCCCACCCTTCGAGAGGAGGGCGCGTCCGGCCCAAGGGCTCACCAGCCTGTGGGCCCGAACAACCCCTCGCTCAGGAGCGGCGCCGCCTGCAGCCCTGGAGGAGGCTGAGGCCAGGCAAAGGGCTGGCTGTCCCTTCCTCGCCGCCCCCCCCGCCAGCAGGAACCCCCATCGCTCCCTGTCCCTTCCCTTCCTGCCTCACAGCCTGGGACAGGGCGTGAGGGGCCCGAGCTCCCTGACACCCCTCCGGGTGGCTCGGGTCCCAGCCCGCGGGAGCGGGAACCAGGCGACCAGCGCCACATGGCCAGGAGGCCTCCGGCCACCCAGAGACCCCGCCTCCTCCTTTTCGCTGGCTGGTGCCCGGGCCAGGGGTGCGTCCAGAGCCCCCAGGAAGCGAGGGCGTGGGGAGACCTCCCCCATTCGCTGCGATGGGCCGATGCGTCGGCCCCGAGGGTGGGCAGAGGGGACGCGGGCATGGCCGGCGAAGCCCCGGGCTCCCGGGCTGTCCCCGTCCTGTCTGCGCCTGGCTCGGCTCCATCGTCTGGGGGGTGGTGGATGGGTTAGCCCCTCTCTCTCTCTCTCTGGTTGTTTTCTCGTTATTTCATGGGAGATGAGCGATAACAGGTTGTTGTGAAAGTCACATGAAGGAAGCTTGGGAAACAGAACGTTACAGGAAGCGCGAGGGTTCAGTGCGTTGGCGGGCACCCCTGGACACACACAGCTGGCACAGCCAGACGGGGCCACCGAGGAGACCCCAGGGGAGGCCGAGACCCGGGGTCTCATGTGCACAGTGTTAGGGGAGCAGACTGTGGCGTCTGCGTTCCTGGTGACTTGTGATCCAGCGGAGAAAGCAGCTAGGCCACGGGCCACCTGCTCAGCAGGTTGCTGCCTGCTTCCTGGTGGAGAGGCACAAGCCGCCAGCAGGGGCCGTGGGGTCCCACCCCTGCCCACGGCCCAGGGCCCAGGGCCGCAGGCGGGTGCGCGAGGGATGGGAACGCGCGAGGTCTGCTGGCCTCCAGCCCCGGGGAGCCGCACGCAGCAGCAGCATCGTGTTATCGGCACTTCACTGCGCTGAGGAATGTTCGGGGCGTTTATTTTTTCAGAGGGAGTAGGAGGGCTTGGCGTTGGCCCGGGGGAGGGTCCAGGCGCCTGGGGTCCCTGGGGCCTCTCTGCTCCGATGTTGCTTCATCGCTGATGCGCCGGGGGCGGCTGGGGGTCAGGCGGTTGAGGGGAGTCGGGGACTCAGGGGGCGCAGAGGAAGCGGCCGGCGGGGCCGGGGTGCGCGGAGGTGTGGAGGATTAGAAGCAGTTGTCGAAGTCAGGCTGGGGAGGGGGAGTTGTGAGCTAACCGCCGTGGGGCGCAGCCTCTCATCTCAGCGTCTCTCCCGGGTCCGGGCGGACGGAGGCACCTCCGCCGCGCGCTTGTCCCAGCGCCCAGAGCGGCAGCGAGCGCCAGGCAGCCTGTTTAGGACGGAAGGAGTCTCACTTCTCTTTTACAGTGAAAGCTGTCCAGCCGGCGCTCAGGAATTCAGAACAACTCACAGGATCCCAGGGCTTTCCCTTCTAAGGAAGCGAGAGGCAGCGGGGCCTGGGCCTGGCCGGCGGGAGGGGCCGCAGCCCCTTGTGGGCCGGGCCTGAGCGCGTCCCCGCAGACCCTCTGGCTGCTTCCAGTCACTGGCTCTGGATTCTGCTCACTGTGGCGCCTGCCCGCCTTTCTGGGTCTGGGACGGACAGGAGGAAGGGACACAGGAGGAAGGGACGGGGAAACAGACGAACTCAGGGAGAGCGGCCTCTGCCCTGGGCGTGGCCTTTGACCCCGGAGCAGGGACGAGAGGGCCTGCCTGGCCCTCCTGCGGCCGCAGCAGGGACGCTCGGCTCCTCGGCTGGGGCCCCGCCACTGGTGGGGGTTAGCGCCCAAGTCTGAGCTGTGACCGGCTCCCTCCTGGGAAAGACTGGGGGCCCGGCCTCACCCCATGGTGGTGGCTGATGGAAGCGGCCGCTCCCAGAACCCGAGAGCCCAGGGAAGCTCCCAGAAGCCACGTGCCCTCGGCCGGGTGTCTCCTGTCACCTCGTCCGCCGGGCGAGGGGCGCTCTCAGGATTCAGCTCCTGGCCCCGGGGGCTTGGCCTGCCTGAAGGGGCGGGGGCCCCCGAAACACTCAGGCCCCACTGGGCTCTGGCCTGGCCCTGCTTCTGCCAATTCTGGGAGCTTGAACTTCTTCGTGCGCCTTGGCTTTCCTTCTGGAGGCTGAGAGCGTCGGCCTCAGTCTCGGGGTGCGGGGGGCCACCGCTCACCGGGGCTGCCTCTTTTCCTCGCGCCCAAGCAGCATCACAGGCCTCGCTTAGCACGAGCGGCCGGAGTAGACGAACACTAGGTAATCGGCCCGAATAGCTAGCCCGTAGCTCTCTTTGTGGCTTAACGTGGTTTGGCAGAAGCGAACTGAGGCCTGCTTTTGGGATCCCCCATGTCCGAGCCTTGGGTGGAGCCGGCAGGTCAGCAGACCACGGGGCAGAGGGCTCGGCCGGGGTGGGAGGCGGCCCAGGCGGGCAGGACGGGCTCTGGGGGAGCAGGCAGGGCAGAGACGGCAGCGGCCCTGACGCGGATCTAGAAGTCGGGGCTCCCCGGGGCCTCCTCGGGCTCCTGCTGGAGACCCCTCGGGAGAGACCCTGTCTCGCTCCCTGCCTCCCTGGCCTGGAATCCCGGCTCAGCCTGGGCCTTGCGGGAGCAGCACCCACGTCCGCCCTACAAGGGAATGCTGGAGACCTGGGCCTGCCGCCCCTCCTCCCTCCCTCCTGGAGCTCCCTATTTGGGCTGCCGGGAGCTGGAATGAGGTGGGGATCCCGGGGGCCGGAGGGGGGCCTTATTTAGTCTGAAGTCTCTGACCCGGGGCTGTGACTGAGAGGAGCCAGCCCTTTAAGGGCAAGAGTGGCCAGTGGTGAGGAGCTGAGCGTCTCCTGGGGCGGGGGGGACGGGCTTGCGGGGAGAGTTGGGGGGCACGCCCCCCGATGTTTATTTAAGGAGTATCGGGGAACCAGATTAACATCCTAGGACAAGAGCTGGAGAAACAGAGCAAAGGAGAGCCTCCGGGGCCTGGGCCCAGGCGCCCCGAGTCCCAGCTTCAGACACCAATGGACGTGGTCAGTGTTCGTGGGGTGCCCGCTGTGTGCCAGGCCTGGGGCTGAGCAGTCTGTGTGAGCCCTCGTTTGGGGCTCACAGCCCCGGCTGGGAGGCTTTGCCTTTCTGGGCTCAGTGTCATTTGTAAAGCAGATCGTAACTGGCCCCAGGTCGCGCCCCGGGAAGAAAGCTGGGGGGAGAGCTGGGGGGTGACGCAACCCCCTTGCTCCAGGCCCCCAGGCTCTAAGCCATCCCACGGCCCGGCCGGCTGCTTCCCACCCCCCCCACACACAGGGAGGTGCCCAGGCCCACAGAGGCGGGGTCAGGGCGTTCCTCGCGGGTCTGACCGCGATTCCCTGGACCCAGAGGGCCTGCCGAGCCTGGAAGCTTCAGATGCTGCTGGCGCGACCTGAGCTCACCTGTGGGCCCACCGAGAAATAGCAAACCTGCCCTCTGGGTGCCTTGCCTCCCCAGCGCCCCCGCCCCCAAGGCCGCACAGACTGCCCCTCCTCCAGTGCTGGGGGCAGGAAGGCCCTGCCCTCCCCTTCCTGCCTTCCTTTTTTCTCCTCTCCTGTCTGGACACGTGGTCTCCTTCTCAAGACAAGAGCCCAGGCAGCCTCAGGCTTCCTGCGGCCGGGGGGTCAGCCGAGGCCGCAGCCTGAAGGGCAGGGGCTCAGAGGCCCCCCAGGCTCCCAGGAGAGGGGCTCAGACCCCTCCCAGTCGCCTCCCGGCTTGCGGGGGGGGGTGTCCTTACCTGCACTTCCAGGCTGCTCCCGGGGGCCCGGGGTCGGGCGGGAGGGCTCAGGAGCCTCCGCGCCTGCGCCCGCACTCACGCCGACCCCCGCCGCCCCCGCCCGCCCGCAGTGGTCTGCAGGAAGAACCTGGACAGCACCACTGTGGCCGTACACGGCGAGGAGATCTACTGCAAGTCCTGCTACGGCAAGAAGTACGGGCCCAAGGGCTACGGCTACGGGCAGGGCGCCGGCACCCTCAGCACTGACAAGGGCGAGTCGCTGGGCATCCGGCACGAGGAGTGAGTACCGGCGCCCCGGCCCTCACCGCTGTGGGTGAAGCGGCTGCGGCTCAGGACGCCGTTTCCCGGGTCACCGTGGCGCCCGTCCGCGCCGGGCCCGTCGGGGGTGCGGGGGCCAGAGCAGGCCGGCACCGCCCTCCGTGGCCAAGGGGCCCGGCAGCGCCTGTGCCCCGCGTCCCTTTCGCACACGAAAGAGCTCAGCCCAGGGCCCGCGGCTGCCCCGGGTCCCCAGTCCGCGGGCGTCGGAGCCTGTCCCTCCCTTGGAAGTGCTCCAGAGTGTCGCTCGGTCGCGGGCACCCCCGGCCTCTGGCGCGCTCTGAAGGGTGCTGTCCACGGTCACCTCGGCCGGCTCTTGGCCCCGGGGGTGGACGGAAATGACAGGCCGTGCGTTGCCACCGTCCGGCCAAGGCCGTGGCCCCGGGGAGGTGGTTTCTCAGCAGATTCGGCCTGGGAAGGGTCTGATGACCGACAGCAGGGGCACAGCGAGCGGGGCCGTGGCCTGGCCGTGCGGGGTCGCAGGGTTCCCGCGGTCCGAGCAGGCCACGGAGGCCACGGGTGTCTCCAGGGAAGGGACGCTGCGCGCAGCCTGGGTTTCTCCGTGTGTGGGGTGGGAGGCCACCCCCACGTGCCCCGGGGCCCGGCCCTGCCCCCGTGAGGCGCAGGCGGGTCGAGCCCACGCGGCCCGGCGCCCCCCTAGTTTCGGCCTGAGCCACCGTGTCCTTCCTCGCGCAGGACCCCTGGCCACCGGCCCACCACCAACCCCAATGCGTCCAAGTTCGCCCAGAAGATCGGCAGCTCCGAGCGCTGCCCCCGCTGCAGCCAGGCCGTCTACGCCGCCGAGAAGGTGATCGGAGCCGGGAAGGTGAGCCGGTGGCCCGGGCCGCGGACGGGGACGGGGAGAGGGAGGGCTGGGGACACCACGTCCTGGCGCGTGGGCTCTGGAACTTGGCACGTGGGGCCGCATCGTCTCCGTTGAGCTGCGTGACTGGGGAGGCCCCTCACCTTCCTGAGCCCCACTCCCACGTCTGTAAGTGAGGGGCCCCAGCAGAGAGAGCCGCTCTAAGCCTGAGTGAGACCGCCTGCGAGGACCACCCCACGCAGCGCCCAGGGTCAGCTGTTTACTTTGGGGGACTGCCGTGAGGTCAGAATGAAAGTCCTCACCAGCCATCGCTTAAGTGACAGGAAAACAGGAGATGCTCATATTAACACGAAGTTGGTGAAAAGTAGCCAAGGATCACTCCTTCCATTGCCTCCGTGGGGTCAAAGTTCAAGTTAAGGCTGTTCTGCTAAGGAGTCAGGATGAGGAAATTATGTGTTCCAGCAGACGAGGTTGGAGGGCCCCCCCCGCCCCCACCTTGGCCAAGAAGGAAACTTGGAGGAGCAGGAGCCCGTGAGGGAGCGGGCGGGAGGGAGGCGAGGCCCCCCAGCGAGCCGGTGGGTGGTCTGCCCGGGAGCTGCCCTCCTCCAGCCTGGAAAGCGGTAGGGAGGGGCTGGGAGGGGCCCAGGGCCACCGTGCGGCGGGGAGGGGCTGGCGCGGCGGGGAGGGGCTGGCCCGCCGACCTCAGCGGAGGCCCGGGGAGCCCAGGAGGTCCAGCTTCCTATCTGGCCCTGCAGCCCCGTTGAGGGAGGCTCTTTGCCCTTAAAAGGCCTGGTGCTGTCTGGCCTGAGCGCAGCCGGCCCCTGCCAAGCTGCCTGCCCGTCCGCCGCGGGGCCTGCGCAGCCGCTGCCGGCCTGTGAGAAGCCTTCCTGCCCCAGCGGCTCCACCGCAGCGCCGGCCAGGCCACTAGCCCTGCGCAGCCTCCGAGCGCCCCTTAGAGCCACCGGGAGCGGGGGCGGGGGGGGCTCCTGCGTCCCCTGGAGGAGCTACCCTGGGACCTCGCTGCTGAGCTCAGTGCACGGCACAGACCCCGCCCCCTTCCAGAGCACCGCCGGGCACCGCCGGCTCGGGGCGCCTTGGGGCCTGGCTTGTGCCCGCACGGCCCCTGCGAAGGCCGTCCTCTCCGCAGCCTTGGCGAGGGGGGACGGCCTTCGGGCAGACGAGGCCCCCGTTCTAGGAGTTCAGAGGCCGGCCCGGCTCCGGGGAACCCCCGTGACAAAAGCCCGCCCGCACGTGGGCGTCTCTGGTTCTCACTCCCCTTCTGCCCGGTGGGCACAGGGGCCCCCAGGGGAGGGAGGGGCAGGGCCGCACGAGCCCACGCCTGCACCGCTGGCCCCGCGGGTCTGCAGGAGACACCTCAGCGGGGACCCCGCCCTGGCCTGCCCGCCTGGGTGCCGTGGGGGCCGCGGACCCCCCGGCCGCTTGCGATGGTGCGAGGTGGTGCGAGGTCCTAAGCAGCGCCTCTGCTGCCAGCAGCCCCGGCCGGCAGACTTCCAGCCATCAAGTCAGGGGCACGGGGCGGGGGGCAGGGGGCGGGGACGCCCGGCCTGGGGGCAGCATTAACTGTCCCCGCCCACACAGTCCTGGCATAAGTCCTGCTTCCGCTGCGCCAAGTGCGGCAAAGGCCTTGAGTCCACCACCCTGGCCGACAAGGACGGCGAGATTTACTGCAAAGGTAGGTGAGCCGCTTCGGCCAGCGGCCGGGGTCGGGGCTGTGCCGCGGTGCCACGGGGACCCTCCTTTTCACACAGGAGACAAGCCCAAGCCGGAGGCAGCCTGTGGCTCACCCAGAGTCCCAGGGCGCGTGCGGTTGGGCGGGCAGCACCGGCTGCTGACCCCGGCCCAGGGCTGTCCCAGCAGAGGGCCTCCTTGCTGTCGGGGCTGGGGGCTTCACGGGGGCCTGGCCGGGCCCTGGGGGCAGTGGGGCGGGGGTGGGGCGGGAAGGGTGGCCCGGGGCGGGGTGTCCTGACCTGTCTCTTCTCTCCGCAGGATGCTACGCTAAAAACTTCGGGCCCAAAGGCTTTGGCTTTGGGCAAGGAGCAGGGGCCTTGGTCCACTCCGAGTGAGGCGCGCCGGCCGGCCCGCCCGCTGCCCGCCGGCCCACAGGCCGTCTCACCGCCCCCTCCCGCAGCCTCGCCCCCTCCGGCCCCCTCTTCTCAGCCCTGCCGCGCGTCACTAGTGAACGGAGCTTGGTGTCTGGTGCCCTCCTGTCTGGGATCGGCCGGAGGTTCCCTCCTTTCAGGGACTCCCCTGCCTGGGGTCGCTGCTGTCACCGGAAGGCACCCCAGAGGCTTTAGTTTCCTGGGACAGCGGTCTCCCCACACGCACCCCACAGACCTCTATTCTTAGCCTCCTGGTCTGAGAGTCCCCCATCGGCTGATGAGGCCCGGAGCCCGGCGGGGAGGCTGTGCTTTGTCGGCCACAGAGTCCCCCCCTGCAGGAGAGGGCCAGGCCTTGCGGTGTCCCTGCACAGGCCTGCGGCGGGCCCCAGCTCAGGAGTCCTGGGAGGGGGCGAGGGGCCACAGAGGCATGAGGCAGGGTGGCAGGCCGTGACCTTCGAGGCTGTGGGCAGCCACTGTCCTCCCCTCGGGGCCGGAAAACGCCCAGGTCTGGGACCTCAGAGTCAGGAAGTGGCCTCTCCTCCCCAGCTCCCTGCGTGGAGGCGGCCCCAGTGAAACACCCTACACGCGTCTGTGTCTCAGGCCCGGGTTGGGGGGTGGATGGCACCGCCCCTCCCCCGGGGTCCTGAGGCGGCTGCGGCCACGGCTCCTGTCCCCACACGCCCCTGCCAGTGCGCGGCTGCCATGCCTGCTTGAGCCTCCACGTCGGAGGCTCGGCCACGGTCTTCCTGGACACCCCCCCTCCACCGGCACCCAAGCCTCGGCCCTTCCTGCCACACAGGGCCTTGCCCCTAACACCCGCCCCGCCCCCGATCCCCCGCCCGACCAAGGCCCCCAGGGCAGGAGCAGCAGGAGCTGGGGAGGGACGGGGATGCAGCAGAGCTGTGGGGGGGGGGGGGGGGTCCTGCACTGGCTGATGCCTCGTCTGGTCAATAAAAGCTGTTAGAGCCGAGTCTGGTGCAGGGTCTGGGCCGCGGGGGGGGGGGGCGGGGGGGCAGCCTGCCAGGCGATCCGCGGGCATGAGGTGCCCTGCTCCCGCCGGCCCCCCACCTGCACGTGAAGCTGCGTGGACTTCGGAATTGGAGGGGCTCGGCGAGGCCCCGCGCTGGGCTCGGAGCTTCCCCTCGCTTGGAAAGCCCCAGCGAGCGAGGGCAGTGCCGCCCCTGGGACTTCCCTGTGGAGTCCCGAAAGCTCGTTCTGCCCCGTGGGGGGCAGGGATCTGGCTCGGCCCCTGCGCGTCGGGCCCTGCCCGCGTCCACTCAGGCTGTGCTAACAAAATGGGGGCCCCAGCGCTGGAGGCTACAAGTCCCCGATAAAAGCGCGGGCAGGTTTTGGTGTCACATGGTGGAGGGACAGGGAGTGCTGACCCCCTCCTGGGGGCTCCCCCCTCACGGCCCAGTCTCCCAAAGACCCCCCCATCCCCGCAGCCCATCAGCTGGGGGTTGGGATTTCAACCCAGGAATTCGGGGGCGGGGGGGACGGGACACAGACATGCAGCCTACAGCGCCCCCCGCAGGTGAGCCCGGGAAGGCTGGCTCTTTGTGAACAGCCCCTCTGTGGGGTCTTGGCGGGTCCTCCATCCTAGGGGTCCTGTCCGATGGTCAGGGGTGGGGCTCCTCGGCCCCCACGGGGAGTTTAGGAAACAGTAAGAAAAAAAAACCAACGAGGAGAGGCTGGGACAGTCAGCAGCCTCCTATGCGTGGCGCCATGAGGCCCAGGTCCCGCCATGGCCTGATGGGCGCCTCCTTGCCCTGAGAAAGTGGGTCCGCGCAGGTGTGGGACCCACACGGGTGCGGGACCAGGGCTGAGCACAGGGACAGGGAGCGGGGCTGTGGCAGGCCGGAGGCCCCCATGCAAGGCGAGGCCTCAGGGTCCCCGGAGGTCTCCGCGGTTGGGGGAGGGACGCACGGGCGGTTCCATGCACCTGCGTCATCTCCCCGCCCAGGGAGAGGCCCGAAAGGGAGCGGGGCCCAAAGCTGGGGACAGGCTGCCCTCTGCTGGCTGCTCTGCCAGTGGCTGCACGAGGTCCCCGCCAGCCCCATTGTGGGGAGCGGGCTGGACGCACCCCCTGGCAGGGAAACCAAGGGGTCGGGCAGGGGTGCCAGGCAGGAAGCGCCCGAGGGCAGACAGCGGGCGGTGGCCGGGGCTGCAAGAGCAGGGGCGGGCACCTGGACGGCGGCCTCCTGCGCGGAGGGCCTGCCGGTAGGCGGCGCTGTGGGCCGAGGCCAGAGCCTCGCGTCCCCCGCCCCCCGCCCCCCGCCCCCCGCCAGCGCGCCTCCCCGTCTGGGCCCACGGGCGGTGCACACCTGCCCCCGTAGGAGGCAGCGCCCCGGGCGGGCACCCCGCTGCGTGCCGTGGGGCCGGCCCAGAGCAGGGGCCGGGGTCCCCGCGTCCATCCTGGCGTCTTTCTCGGTTCTCCCGTCTCTGAGCCGCGCCCCGGCGCCCCGGGCCGGAGTGGCTGTTCTTCGCGCTCCGAGGGGACCGTGGGACAGCGCTGCCGTCCTGGTTGGAGGCCAGTTTCAGGAAAGTCCCTCCTCCCAGAGCCCTGGCAACCTGTTTGGGTCACCTGAGGGCTGAGGACAGAGATCAGAGGAGCCAGGCGGGAGGGTGAGTGGGGGGCCGGCTGCTCTTGGGCTCTGAGCAATTAATCCCTGAGCAGGACAGTCCGTTCTGTGGGAGGGGCTGACCCCTGGATCACGTGGGGTGAGGAAGCACCATGGGGTCGCCGCCCCTGGTCCCGCCTCCAATCCTCCCAGTAATGAAAATCACGTGAACTTTTTAAGGGGGAGTCCCAGCCCCACCCCCAGAGGCTCCCATGCGGTCGGCCTAGCGCGGTCTGGGAATCTGCATTTGCCAAAGGCCCTCAGACGGGACCAGGCTTGGCCGGCCAGCGCCCTCCTCCACTCTGCAGCCTGGCCCCGCTGGGTTGCTGCCCCAAGCTGGACGCCCTGCCCAGCAGCTGGGCTCGGGCCGGTGCTGGTGATCACAGGGGACTTCCTATTTCTCTCCTGCGGGTCTAATCCCCCTCCTGAGGGACAGCTGTCCACCTGCTCCCTGGGACAGGCAGCCTGACCGCCCAGCGGTTCCTGATTGACGCCGAGGGAGCCCAGTGAGGCCATTTCATCAGCCGAGAAAGCCCCAGCTGGGGCTGCTCAGTGGACTGAGCTCTGGCCTGCGGACCAGAGAGTCGCCGGTTCGATTCCCAGTCAGGGCACAGGCCTGGGTTGCGGGCCAGGTCCCCAGCAGGGGGCGCACGAGAGGCAACCACACATGGATGTTTCTCTTCCTCTTTCTCCCTCCCCTCCCCTCGCTCGAAAAATAAATGAGTAAAAGCTTTAAGAAAAACACAGCAGGGATGGGGGCGGGGGCTGGAAGCGCAGACTGGGGACCTGCGATAAATGGGTCCCCACGGCTGGGGGCGGAAGTGGCTCCCTCTGAGAAAGGCCCTCCCCGCCGGGCGGGCTCCCTCCCCCGAGCCTCTCTGTCCTGGACGCGCTGGGAGCACCATCATCGCCTGTCCTGTGTGCAACACAGCCTCCTAGGGACCTGCAAGGTGTTAAGTCACGGATCCCTCCCCCCGGGAGGCAGTGCTGTCATCATTCCCCTGGCGATTGATCTCCCCAAGGACAATTCCAGGACTGGCCGAAGGTCAAATGGTGGGAGCAGAAGAGACGCCCAGGCCGCAGGGTCCAGGCCCCACCCCCGCAGCTCGGGGCGCGTCTTCTCCAGAAGAAGCAGGGGCAGGAGGCGCGGAGTCCCGCGGCGACCGTGGCAGGGGCGGCGTGCCAGAGCCCACGCCGGGTGCCGGCAGCAGCCTGCCCGCCGTCCCGTTTGGTTCCCACGGCAGCAGTGCGAGGCGGTGGTGACCTCTTTCTCACAGAGGAGGAAACTGAGGTCCAGTGCATTTTTAGGTGACTTAGTCAACGTCACTGGCAAGCGGTGGCAGCAGCCTGGGAACCAGCCGTGTGACTTCGGGCCGGCCTCCTCCTCGGGGTGTCACCTGCTCCGGTGGGAAATGGGGGTGTTGGCCTCAGTCCATGCCGGAGGAGCGCTTCTCAGGAACAGCGGAGAACCTCGGGAAAGTGCAGGCGGCTCTCAGGCAGGCCGGGCGGGGCCCGCGCCCCGCCTGGCACCCCACTCCCGGGGAAGGCGGCGCTGCTGTCGGGGCCGGCCGCGTTCTGGGACCCGCCCGGCTCGCAGCCTCCGAGTCTCCGGGCGTAGGTCGACGCGCCCCAAAGGCCAGGGAAATTCAGGAAGTGGCCTGTCTGAATGGAGCCTTTTGCGGGCCTTTCCTGCCTGGACAGGCCCGGTGCCCTTTCCGAAGCGCCTGCCCCGGGGCTTCTGTGTCTCCCCTCCGCTGCCCTCGGCGGGGCTCCTGCGGAGGAGGGTTCCCGGCTCGATCCGGGCCGGGCAAGGGCGGGTCCTCCCCACCTCCTGGGGGCGCCCGCCTGGTGGCCACACGGCCCGGTTCTGGGCGCCTGTGAGGTCACGCTTCTCTCCCTCCTTCGAAGAGCGCTGTGGCCACGTAGCTTGCTCTGGCCTGTGAGCTGAGACGAGACATGTCACTTGTGGGCGAAACTCCTGAAGAGCCCCGTGTAAGTCATCTGTCACGGAGCGTGTCATCCGCCCGGCGCGTGCACTTGCTGTGAGTCACGCCTAACGAGGACCTTCAGGATGTGGACTCGGCCGGCCCTCCACCCGCCGGGGGGCCGGTGCCGCTGCCATGCCGTTGGCTCGGGTCTGAGCGCCTGCCCCGCCCGCCGCGTCGGACGTCCGGGCTGCGTGGGCAGCCCGCGCTGGGTCCGGCCTGTGGGGTCCGGGCAGTTTGTTAGTGGGGCCCAACCCAGCCTCTCCCAACAAGCACAGGCGCCTGCGTCAGGGGGTTGCGCCTGAGGCAGCCGTGTCCAGTCCCGGGGGTCGGGGCTCTGCAAAGCCTAGGTCGCAGCCTGTGAGAGCGTCACTGGCATCCTCTTCAGAAGGACGCGGCTCCCTGAGGCCGGGCGCGCCACCTCCCCCCGCCGGCCAGCCCCCGCTGGAAGGAGAACCGTGTCCCCGCGCGGAGCCCAGAGCCTGGCTCACCACCCTTGCCTCGCACCATGTGCACTTGGCGCGGCTGCACGGGCAGGCTGGTCGAGGCCCCGAGTTCTCTGGGCGTCAGCCAGTCCCCCGGTGTCTCTGCCCCTCGGCCCAGGGTCCCCGAGGACGAGGGTCCGGCGGGAGAGGCCCCTTGGCTCCAACACCGTGGGCACCCGGGGCCTGCGTGACCGGGGAAGAGGGAAGGCTCCGCAGGCCCCAGCCCGCACGCCGAGCCCACACGTCCAGTCCCTGCCAGACCCAAGCGGGGATCCAACGCCCTCACGCCCAGACTCATCCGACGGGGCAGCGGGCGCTGCAGACGGCAGGGATCCCTGGGGAATCGGGAAAGCAGTCGGGCTGGAAGGCCCTGCAAGGCCTGTGCGTGGGAGGGGGTTTCCAGCCGGGGTGGAGGGAGAGCGGGGCCGGCCCAGGGCAGGTCCGGGCGGGTCGGCCTGGGCGCTGGCCGCCCCGGCTCTGTGGCAACGCAGCCCATAAAGCCCGGGTCCTTAGAGACGTTGCCGCCTTGATCCGCTGCTTCCCCTGTGTCCCTGCGAGGAAACCGGCCCCGCGTCAAAGGGGCGGGGCGGCTCAGGGGAAGCCTGAGGGGCATCAGCCGGGGTCTCCTGGGAGAGGGGGCTGGGCCCGTGGGTGGGAGGGGTGGGGGCTGTGTGCAGCCCCACTTCCTGTTCCCTCTGGGCGAGGAGGGGCCCCCGGCCGGCAGGCTGAGGGGGGAGGAGCAGCATCCTTCTGGTCTTACCTAAAGGGGGGCCATCGACATGGCCGGGCCGTAGCCCCCCCGAGCCAGCTGGCGTTCCTGCCAGTCTGATCCGGGCCCGATAGCTTCCGGGGCAGGTCCAGGGCGCGGAGGTCAGAGGGGCAGGCACAGAGCTGGGGTCGCAACACGGCGTCTGTGCTCAGGGCCCTTGCTCCTCACCAGGTCCCCGCGCTCCCTGCACGGCAGGGTCGCCTGGCAGCTCTGGGCCCCAGGCCCGGAGGGCCCGACCAGCCCGTCCGGGGGAGCACAGACAGCGTTTCTCACAGGCTCCCCCCGTAAGGATGAGGCCGGACCGAGGGGCACGGGGCTAGGCCTCACCACCTGAAGCGTGTGTGACGTTCCTGCAACACCAGCATCGCACAGAGGCTTCTAGAAATGAGGAAAGTGAGGCCCCATCCCAGACCCACTGAGTGGGGACCTGCACCCTCAGTCTGGGGAGCGCTGGGCCTCTCCCCGCCGGGAGTCGGGCGCCTGCAGCCAGGGAGGTGGGGCCCGCCGGTGGCCGCTGGGCCGGCCTTCCGACAGGCCTTCCGGTAAAGCTGCGTTCCGTGTTGTGCCTCTCGGGTCCTCCCATTCCTGTTTTTCTTTCCACCCTGTCCTGGGGGCCCCCGAGGGGACCCGGACTCCGTCTGCTGCGCTAGGCACGGCCGGGCCGAGAGGGAGCGGCCCCCGCACCGGGCTCTGGGCCCGGGGGGCGGCCCAGCCCGGCCCAGCTGGACGCCGACAGGCTGGCGGTGCAGGTCAGCGGTCCTGCAGCCCCGTCCTGGCCCCGAGCCCCGCGGAAGGCTGAGTGGGAGCCCCCGACCTCGCACCCTGCGCCCCCGGCTCCCGAAGGCCCCCGACCCGTCTGGGGGCCCAAGTCGTCCCCCTGAGGCCTGTGCCTCCCCCCGACGAGGCTGCCGGGCAGGACGCCAGCCCTGGGGCAAGACTCAAGAGTGAGCCACCTGGCCCCGTCCCCAGGCTCATGGGCCCGGAGGACGGGACTCCCGGGCTCCATCGGCCTGCACTCGCCGCTGCGGAGCGGAGCTATGGCCACCAACGTGGACGCACCGCACCATCATCCACAGAGCTGGTCCTCTCGGCCGCCCTCCATTCCCGTCGCGGCGTGGCCGTTGGCGACGCTGTGTGACCTTATCTCGGTTGCTTGACCTCTCTGGGCCTTGTTTGTCTCCTCAGTGAAACCATCCCTGTCTGCCATGGGAATCGAACAGCCGCAAGAGCTGTTTGTGAATTAACCTGCAGCGGGACAGCGTCGGGAGTCCCAGGCCCAGCAGCGGGAGGGCGGGAAGTCCAGCAGAGACGAAGCGTTGGTCCTGGCGGAACCGGGCTCGCCGGCGTACTCAGGGGGCGTCGTGGAGGGGTGGGGGCTGGAGAGAGCAGCCACGGAGCGGCCGCCGGCGGGAGACTGAGGCCTTGGAGGCCCTGGGGTCAGGGCCGGGGGCTCCTCGGGCTCCCTTCCCTGGGGGGACACCGTCTGGGCTCCCCCCTTCTCTCACGGCGCGGCCCCCTCTCTCTCCAGGAGGGGGTTGGGGAGTTCGCCGTCCCTTGTGCGGGTGGGACCTTGGCAGCTTCCTCCCCCGCCTCCTGGGTGGGGCGCTACAGGGCAGGGCGCCCCCTTCCACCCCGACCCTCCTGTTGCCTGTTGCCGTTAAGGCTCTGCCTCTCGGGCAGGAGGGCGGAAATCTGGGTGTGGGGACAAAGAGATCTTATTAGCGTCATTAGCACCTACCATTATCTCCGTGATCATCCGAGATGAACCCCCAGCGACTAGGCCCTTGAGACATGGGTGGCCCCGAGGAGCGGGGGGGGGGGGGGGGGGGCAGGGTGACCGCCTTCCAGGGCCCGGCCTCACCCCAAGCCCCCTCCCCTGCGGAGGCCATGACGGTCGGGGGAGGGGGCTCCCATTTGTTGGGACAGTGGGAGTTGCCAGGCCTTGTCCCCGGCTTCCAGGACAGCTCTTAACCTGAGCTTCCGGAGATAAGGCCCCATCAACCCTCCCGTTGACAGACGAGGAAATTGCAGGGCAGTGAAGCTGCCCGAAGGCTGCGGAGGGATGGGAACCCCGCTGCCGTCTCCCCGCGCACCCTTCACACAGCGAAGCGGGGGAGCCCCCCCTGCAGCCCCGGCCCCCGAGGCTCAGTCCAGGGAGGTGCCCTTTCTCTTAGGAGGGGGACACAGGCCTGGGGCTGAGCCCTGGGCCCTCCCAGGGCGGGTGGAGGATGGGACTGCAAGCAGGTCACCAGCGGGTCCCCCTCCACCACAGGGAGGCTGAGCGGCCCCCATGGGCCTCGCCCAGTTCACACTGGCTTCTCTCTGCGGGGCTCCCCTCCCCGGGGACAGGGTGGGAGGGGGCGCAGGTCTCCCCAGCAGGGGCCGTGGGGCACAGCTCTGAGGACCCCGGGCAACGAGCTCTGCCCCTGGGGGAGGAGCGCAGCCTGCGGCCTCCCAGCCCTACCCCGACCCCAGCGTCTCCCTCCTGTTCCCCATCGCACGACGCCCAGGGGGGTCGGCCAGGCCGGGGAAGGGGCAGCGGCGGGCGGGCCAGGCTTCCCGCGGTCCGAAACCACCAGCGGCTGCCCGGCCCCCGCGGGCGCCGCTTCAGCGTTGCGCGCAAAACTGTCCCCCCGGTGGCCGAAGCCTGCGGAGCGGCGGGGGCAAGAAGCGGCAGACGCGAGGCCAGAGGCCGGGGCTGTTGTGTAAGCGGCCCGTTCCCGGTACCAGCCCTCCCGCCGGCGCCTGGTGCCTCCGGGGCGTGACAGAGCCCCCGGCCGGCCCCGCCCCCGAGGCCCTGCCCGGGCGGGCGCGCGGTGCGGAGGGAGGGCCGGCGAGGCAGGAATGCGCCGCGCAGGAGGCAGCGGCGGGACAAGTAAGGGCAAGTCCCCCGAGCTGCCGCCCGGCGCGCAGACGGAGCCCAGGGGAGCGGGCGAGCGGGCAGGGGCGCGAGCGCGGCTGGGCGCACGGGGCAGAGGCGGCGGGGCCGCTGCGGCCGGAGCGGGCGCAGGGTGACGGGGCAGGCGCCGGGGCGCGCGCACCAGCGGCCGGGGCGCGGGCGAGCAGGGCGCACCGCGCGCGCGGCCCGCGGCGGCGGCCGGGCCCGGGCCCCATGACGGCGGCGGCGGCGGCGGTGCTGAAGGAGGGCGTCCTGGAGAAGCGCAGCGGCGGCCTCTTGCAGCAGTGGAAGCGGAAACGCTGCGTGCTCACCGAGCGCGGGCTGCAGCTCTTCGAGGCCAAGGGCACGGGCGGCCGGCCCAAGGAGCTCAGCTTTGCGCGCATCAAGGCCGTGGAGTGCGTGGAGAGCACTGGGCGTCACATCTACTTCACGCTGGTGACCGAGGGCGGCGGTGAGATCGACTTCCGCTGTCCCCTCGAGGACCCGGGCTGGAATGCCCAGATCACCCTGGGCCTGGTCAAGTTCAAGAACCAGCAGGCCATCCAGACGGTGCGGGCCCGGCAGGGCCTGGGGACCGGAACCCTCGTGTCCTGAAGGGCCGGGCGCACTGTCCGACCTCCCGGCCCCCCACCACCTCGGCGCGGGGCCACATCAGGTAAGCCCTCGGGGGACCCAGCACCCTTGCCTGCCTTGCCTGCCTGCTCCCCTTTCCTGTGCGGAGAGCAGGGGGACTCCAGCCAGCATTCCGCGGAAGAGCTGGCCCGTCCTGCGGCCACCAGAGAGGAGGAGCCCAGGAGTCTGACCTCTGGGCACCAGGCAGGGGCCCTGCATGTGCTGAGAGGGGGCTGGGCGGGCTGGGCCTTGCTGACTGGCTTCTGCTGCGGCTCCAGTCGGGGGAGGCTGGCCCGCAGGGCCCCCAAGCTGCTGGGCCTCGGCCGCCCCCCGAGTGCCCGGGTAGTGCCCCCCGGAAGCTGGGGGACCCCAGGGTGGGCGGCCCCGAAGCTTCCCCTTCCTGCTAGGGGTGGACGCTCCTCGTGGGAGAGTTTGAGCGTGGCATTGAGGCAGGAGGATGGTCTCCCTCTGGGGGCGGGGTCCTCAGGGGCTGTGAGAAGACCGGGGGCCCCCTGGCCCGGCCCGGCTGGCCCGGCCCGGCTGGCCTGGCTCCGCGGCCTTTGCTGGCAGTGGGCTTTGGGCCCTGGGACGGAGCTGCTGAGAGGCCTGAGGAGAAGCTGGAGGGCGGCGCCCTGGGGCCGGCTGGGCGGATGGAGGCAGGAGGTGTCCTGGTCTGGGGCGAGGCGTGGGGCAGGGGTGGAGGCGGGCTTGTGGTCAGGAAGGCCCAGGGGAGGGAGCGGGCAGGGAATCTGGAAGGCCTGGCTCCCAACCCTGTGCCCTCTGCCCCAGATGCCTGCCCTGGGAACAGGGAGCGGGTCGGAACGCTCTGTGCCGCTCCGGTGTTCATTTCCCTGGTGAGAACCCAACCCTCCCGACCCCATCCCCCACTCCTCGCCTCCCTGGGCTGCCGCCTCCCCACCTTGGCCAGGACGGGCCCGGGGAGCCAGGGGCCTGTGGGCCACAGCCCCTCTGACCTTCCCGTAGATGCCCCCTCACGGGCCGCGGGTCAGCCGAGACCGACCTCGCCGAGCCCTCGGGTCGGGGGTGGGGGTGGCGGGCTCCTGCACCGGCTGCGGTCGCTGTGCAGACATGGCCTTCGGCGTGGGTCCGGGTGTGGGAGAGGTCAGGGAGCCGGCGCGCGGCAGCCCACAGCGGCGACTCTTTCTCTCTTGGCAGCGCCCCGGCCCCCGTGGCACGCGGGGGCTCACTGCGCCCCACCTGGCGAGGAGGCAGAGCCGCGGCCACCCACCGGCGGGAGGCGCGGGCGGCCGGACAGGAGGGCAGAGGCTGCGGATGACGAGTCAGCCCTGGCCCCGCTCGGACGCCGGAGCGGGACGTCCGCAGGCCAGGACCTTCCCGCGGCAGGCCTGACAGGTGGATCCTGAGGGGCGCCGGGCCGGGGAGACCCCCCGCCGCCCGCGGAGGCCCTGCCACGGGTCCCGCCGACTGCTGCCTGTCACCGGCCCGGTGCTGCGCCTGAGGAGGGCAGAGCCCGCGGGGCGCTCCGCCACGGGACCCAGGGGGCGCCTCCAGACGGACCGTGGCCAGGTCGGCGGGAGCTGACGGGTCTGAGGCCCACACCGGGGGTCTCCTGCTGCTTAGGTCCCTCCGGGACCCCCGCCCCTCCAGACCCTCTGTTTGCACACTTCTCCCTCTCCCCCCGCCCCCCCGTCCTGTTCTTCTGTCCCCGCTGCGCTGCCAGGCCTGGAGGCGGCGGACTGGGGTGGGGGTTTGGCCGCTACCATTTCATGCCTATCCCAAAATGAAGAGCCCCGCGAGGGGCGGCGGCCGCACCGTTTGCTGCGCGGAATTCTTTGCCCACAGAGGCCCCGTGCTCGGAGCGTCCCTGCGCCTCAGGTTCCCGATGCACAGCTTGTTCTGCAATCTCCAGCCTGGGCGGGGCTGGGCAGGGGCAGCGCAAGCCTGGGAGACACGGCCTCGGTGGTCCCAGGAAGGGGCGGCCGCAGGGCCTGCACGCAGGGTGCTCTGCCGGCCCGGTCGGCCCCGGAAGCTAGCGTGGCCGGCCCCTGCTGGCCTGGGCGGCGGCCCCCCAGCTCCTGGGCAGAGGCTCTCCCCTGAGTTTGCAGACTCGGGCTCAATACACTGACACAGTGGCTACTCCTTCCTGATGGGCTGAGAGGCGTGAGGTCAGCAGGGGGGCTGAGGTGCCGTAGCGGTGCCCCCTGTTCCGTGGAGACTGTTAATCGGGGACCGCAGCTCCCCCCCCGGTGCTCCCCCATCCACCTTCCCTGGGGCAGAGCGGCGGCCTCCACGGAGCCTCAGGAACAGGGGTGCTGGGTGACCCTCTTCGAGGCGAAGTCTCTGACAGCCTCTGTGCTCCCAGCCCGTGTCTCCCCCACCGCGTTTCTCTGACCGGCCAGAGCCCTGCCCCTCGCTCCGGCCCCTCGGAGTCCCCGGGAGCATCTGCTCATGTGCTGCGCAAGCTGCCCCTCGCCGGGGAAGGCGGAAGGCTCGTGCCCGGGAATCTCTGCAGAGATCGCATGTATGGTCTCACGCCGCTGCTCACGTGTCCCGTGGGTAGCCCGGTCCCGGGGCGGCACACGTGTCCTCTCCCGTACCAGCCTCGAAGAGGCCCGAGAAAGATGTGGGCCCCCCGGAGAGTGGGGATCAGCGAGGTCACGGGGGCCCTGGAGGGGCGGGGGCATGGCCGCACCGACCCACGTGGGGGCGGACGAGTGGAGAGGTTCGCGGGCCGGAATGGGGGAGGGTGGGCTGCACCCCTCAGCCCCCAAAGAGAATCTTTGCTCTTCCATTCAAAGCCAAGGTGACCCATGGTGGGGATTCGGGGTCCAAGGAGGTCCCCAGGTCCACTGGAAAAGGAGCGTGTTTGTGAGCCACTGGGATCAGATGCAAGAGACACGGTCGCTCAGCACGCAGGCTCCCAGCCTCGTGGGCGGGCGCTGGCCGTGCAGAGGGGACCTCTGCGCGAGGAGCCGAGCTCAGCGGGGACGAGAACCGCCAGCTAGTGCCATCGCGCTGGCCTCCGCCGGTCTCTGAGGGAAGCCTCCCAGGAGTCGGCGGCCAGGGGCCGCGGAGGGCACAGCCCACAGCCTGTCGGGAGGCGGCCCCGGGTCCTGGCACTCTGCTTGCTGAGGACGCCCAGCCCTGTCCGGTCTGAGTGCCCAGGGGTTCCTTCCAAACCCAGCTCCGGCCTCTCCCTGCGCCCAGAGGGCCCCCGCCCCCGGGCGGGGGTGCTGCTCTCAGAGCCCGCGCCAGGGGTGGCCCTCGGTGTGCGCCAGGGACGACGGCTTCGCAGCTGTAAGAGCTCGTGGCTTCCTGAGGCTCCAGGACTCTGAGCAGGGAGATGGGGCCCCCACGCCCCACATGCGCCCCGCCCTGCCGGGGAAGGCCTGCGCCTTCGGTTCTGGGGTGGCCCTGCCCCCGCCGCCTCTTCTGGCAACTCCGAGTCCTGGAGAAGGAGCACCGGCCTCAGGAATGCCTGGCTGGACCCCAGAGCGGGGTCAAGGCCTCTGCGAGGGCAAAACAGGCCGGGCAGTGCCCGCAGACATGCACGAGATGGAAAACTTTGCTCAGCGGGGCCCGTGGCCGCCGGACAGCGGGGCGGGGCCGGGGCCGCCGTCCCTGCCTCAGCCCTGCCCGCCTGCTGCGGCTCCGTGACTCATCCGCGGGACAGTGAGGCAGGGCAGCGGGGAGTCTGACGCGGCTGGGGGTGGGGAGGGCGCGGGGAGGAGGTCGGGGCGAGTGGGGCTGGGCAGAGGCCTCCCCAAGTCGGCGGCTGGAACAGCAGTGGGAGAGAGGAAGGCAGGCCTGCGGGGCCCTGGGGCGTGGTTCCCGGGAGTCGGGGGCGCAGGCCCAGGGCACCCGGCAGGGAGGGGGGTTGGCCAGGGTGCTGCACAGGGCGAGCACTGGGGTGGCCTTCCGCGGGGGCCGGGGTCCTGGCTGTCAGATGGGGAAAGGCGAGGTGTCCCTGGGAGGAAGTCACCTGTGCGGAGCTCCGCGCTGCGGCAGGTCAGGCTCGGGGGGCTCGGGAGGTCCGCCCCGGACCTGGGGCAGGGAGGCCTCCACGCGGCGGCTCGCTGCTGGGTCTGGGCGTCTTTCCACCGGCGGCCTCCGGAAGCTTCTGTTCCTCACATGCGCGCACCTTCATGTCTATTACAAAATGTATTCATCGACGAAGATTGTGAAAGGACAGAAAACAGCGAAGAAGGAGACAGATGTCGCCTCGGCGTTCCCCCTGCCGAGAGCGGCTCTCCCGTGTCTCGCCGTATGTGACTTCTATGCAGGTGTGTGTGATGGGAGCTATAATGACTTCGTGCACGGGGTCACCCGCGTGTATCCTGTTCCGTCCTGATTTCTTAGGTATCAGCGTGTCATGTTAGAAGCCATGACCCTACGTGTGTTAATGCCTGTATGTTATTCTACTGTAGTTACTATTATTTATTGACAAACCAATCCTGTCTTGTTGGACACTGTGTCTTTTCAATTTTTCGCTGTTGTACATACATCTGCCTCCTGAAATCTCCGTTTCTGTCTCAGGTTGCTGCTGCTTTTTTTCTTTTTAAGATTTTATTTATTCACTTTTAGAGAGACGGGAAGGGAGGGAGAAAGATGGAGAGAAACATGGATGTGTGAGAGATACACCAATCGATTGCCTCTTGCGCGCCCTCTACTGGGGGCCTGGCCTGCAACCCAGGCCTGCGCCCGGACTAGGGATTGAACCGTCGACCTTTCAGTTCACAGGCCGGCGCTCAGTCCACTGAGCCACACCAGCTGTACGATCTGGTTGCTTCTCTGGGGAAATTCTCAGAGTGGGAGGGGCCCCCTGGGGCCCTTTGTAATGGGTGTCGGTCACAGAGTCAGGAGGCCTGGCGGGCAGGGGAACCGTGGGAGGCAGCAGGGGCCTGGAACGGGGGGGACTGTGCCCGCGCCACCACGGGGGGCCCCAGTCGCAGGCCTGAGCAGGAAGCCCCAGGTGCCTCTGATGAGCTGTGACCGGGGCAAGGTGCCTGCCACGCCGCTAAAGCGGGATGATGCCACCCTGCTTGCTAGCCCTGCTGTGAGAATTGGTTGAGAGCATGTCTGCAGAGGAGATCAGGACACAGGCAGTGGACAGGGAGCGTCGGCTTGAGCGGCGGTGTGGCCGCCGGGCCACCTGGCCTCGCCGGGTCCCCCGTGGAAAGCCGCTTGCCACCGGCCTGGAATTGGCTCACGTGGCTTTTTCCTGATGTGGGGCCGTGGGCCAGGAGACCCGCATCCCTGCGAGACCAGCGTCCGCGTCCTGAGGGCGCTGGTGCTCAGAGACGCGAGGCCATGCCCCGACCCCACTGCCGGGGCCCACGCTGTCCTCACGCCTTCCGGGCCTCCGAGCTGCCTGGGCAGACGGGAGGGTGGGCCGAGCCCGCCGGCCCCCTCGGGGAACCCCGGTGCCTCGCCCCGCTCTGAGGAGGGACCCCCTTCTCTCCACCGTTGTCTCTAGTGCCGGCCAGGGTCTGGCCCGCAGGGGGACCTCAGTAGGGGTTCGCTGAGCGACTCAGATTCCGGAATCTCCATCGCGTGCCCTCCCCAGATCGGGCAGTTGGCCTTTTGAGAAAGTGGGCCAGGCCTCCTGGGAGGCTGGGTCCCCGGGGCCCCGTGAGCACAGAGGGCGCACGCAGGGCTCCGTCCAGGGCCTTGGGGACCGTGAGTCCAGGCGCAGAGCGCCGAGCCAGGAAGGGCAGCTCTGCGCCTCCAGTGGCCTGCCCAGCACCGGACGCCCTGCCTCCCACCTCGGCGCAGCCTGCAACGTCTCCAGGCCGGAATGGCCCTCGGCCACGTACAAGGGCCGTCTAAGCTCCGGAACAGGAGCTGGGGAGAGACACAGAGCGGCTTTGCAAGGTGCCAGGCCCCGCCGCGCCCTCCGCAGCCCATGGGCAGGGAGCGTGCGACCCCCCGCGGCCGGGGGGCCCTGCAGCAAATCGCCGCCAAGGTGGCAGCCTGAAACGGCGGGCACTTACTATCTGCCCCGGTTCTGGGTTGGCTGACGCCGGCCAAGGTCCCGGGGCAGGCACGGCGGGTCCCTCCGAGGTTCCGGGTCACCATCAGGCCCTGCCTCTTCCGGCTTCGGGGGGCTCCGGGGGCTCCTGGGCCGGTGGCCGCATCGCCCCCGTCCCGGCCTCTGCGGTTATGCCGCCACCGCCCCTTCTGTCTGTAACCCCCACGTGCCTCGTCTCGCGAAGCCCCTCGTGACCACATTTGTGCCCACCTGGACAACCCAGGGTGCTCTCTGACCTCCAGATCCTCGACGCAGCCATGCTTGCCAAGCCTTGGCCACCTCAAGGGACATGCACGGGTGCCAGGGCTTAGACCGGGGACATGGCAGAGGCCAAGATTAAACCTCCGCTGCAGGGTGTGTCCAGAAGGGGGAAACTGAGGCAGAGAGCAGCCCAGCCTCATATCCTCACCCGGAATGACAGTCTGAACCCCCGACCAACCTCTCCGCTGGGTTAGCTGTCCCCGAATGGGCAGCTCTGCCTTCGACCGGCCTAGCGCCCAGAGCGGAGCCCTGCCCTCTGCTGGACCCCGTGCCGGCTCTCCCGGCGGCGCCTGCGTGGGAGGTGCAGCTGCCTGACAGGGGCATCTGGCCGCGCGGGTCGGGGACCCTGCTGTTCTCCCCCTGAGCGGGGTCTTCCCCCAGCACCGGCTTGGTAGCCCCGAAGCTGTAAATCCACACGCCCACGGGAACAGCTGGGTCCCAGGCAGGTCCTACGGACTTAACCCTTTCCAGGCCTGCCGGCCGCTCCCTGGGCCCGAGCTGCAGCTCACGTGTGCGCGGCCGGCGATGGCCCCAGCATGGTCTGTGGACGGTCTCACGCGGCTGCCCCGCGGAACCCGTGCCGGGCCGGGTGAGCGCCTGCCGCGGCTGGCGAGGCGGGGGCAGGCCAGGGGCAGAACGGAGGCACGTGCGCCTGCCCCCTCTCCGGTCACCGCCAGCGTCCCAGAGTCCCAAAGCCCAGGCTTGGGGGTGCACCTCGGGCCCCTGGAGGCGCCCACCCCCGCCCAGGGCCGCAGCTGAGAGAACTCTGTTCCCCGAGCCCTCCCCTCGCCTGGCTACAGTGCACTGTAGCCTGCTTATCTCCGGCGGACGGTAAATTCCGTGCAAATGACCTGAAGGACACTGGCTTCTCCAGGCGTCCAAAGCGGCCCGCCCGCCCGCCCGCCCGCCCTCCTTGTTTGATGCTGCCTTTGGTGGCGGAGGGGGCGGCTGGGCACTCTGCTCAGGGTGTTGCGTGAATTGTCAACAGTCACTCACTGAGGACAGCAAAGGAACCAGGACAGGAGGGAGGCTGTGAGGACAGGGACAGGGGGTGGGAACGGAGGTTTCCAGAGGAGACACAGCGGGAAGTGTCACACAGGCAGGTGCTGGGCCTCGCGGTGGGAAGGAGGTGGAGGTCGCTGCAGCCTCAGCGCCCCACGAAGGGCCCGCGTGCACCCCGCACTGGCCCGGCCCTGGTGGACCCTGGCGACCCCTCCCCCGAGCCGCAGCCGGAGACAAAAGTGCCAGAGAGACTCCTGGGGACAGGACGGGCGGTGCCAGCGGGACAAGGCGCCCTTGTGCCTCAGCCTCAGATCCTGCTCCACCCTCCCTGGCCTGGGGGTGGTCGGAAGTTCAGACCCTGGGGGGGAGGAGGCCCTGGGTGGGGCTGGGCCCCTGGGGGTCTCAGGGGCGTGGGAGGAGCTGGGGAGCCCGGTGGGGGTTTCTGGGGCCTGGAGGCCGTGGGTGGGCTGCCCAGGGGTGGGCTGCTCTGAGCAGCAGGAGACAGAGGTGCCAAGGTCCCAGGCTTCTTCTCATTTGATCCTCACAACCCGTGGGAGGCCGGGGCGGAAGGGCGGTGCTTCCACTTTACAGATGAGAAAACAGAGGTTCAAAGCGGCGGCGCCGCACCCGGGGCCACCCAGGGAGGAGGGGAGCGGGTTCGCACCGGCTCCGGGCACGGCGTCAGCAGGTGGGCGCAAGGGTCTGCTCCGGGCGCGCTCT